GTTAAAAGGAATATAATTAATATTATCTCACTTATCCTCTTCTCCTCTTGCATTTATTAAATATTAACATTTTTTGAAACTTTTTTTATATTAAATCTCTTATTAAAAATACGTATCAAATTATTTCTCTTTTTTTCTACTAATATGTATTTACATAACGCACGTATAATTTCAAAATATATATATATATAAATATCTAATAATGATGAGAACAAGCCTCTTCTTAAGAACATCGGCCATTATCCTTTAATGAACAACATGTCCGTCTTACGTCGACTTAACCTATATTAAAATCCTTAATTTAAATAAATTCACGACGAGGATTAAAATGTTTTAAGGGGCAGGAAACGAATGATTATTGCCGAAAAGACCGTTGATCACCACGAAAATCCTCACGTAACACGTTAAGATTTTTCTCGAGTAATTAACCAGCGCAATTCGACTCGTAAACGCTGCCTTTACTGCCCCAAGAATAAACTTTTTGTTTACGGCTACGATATAATTGCATCGGCGAAACTTCGAACAGTTTTGGCCGACGAAACGTGCCGCCAACGATAAAATATCGTTTCCACGAGACTTTTACTGTCACCAGTTTTCGAGTTGTTATAAATTATAAAATCGCGTTACGCTCTCTCGAACGTGATACTTGATGCCTTCTTTTTCTTCTTTTGGAAGGCTGAATCCTTTTGATGAAAAGGATATTTATTAAATGTAATCTGTTTAATTGAATATAAAATCTTTTTTTTCATTTTTGATAAAAAAGAAAATCTGGAAAAATTATTTCTATTTGTTTCTTCATATTGTGAAGATCTTTTTTTATGTTCATTATCATTGTAACGTTTCAAAAATTTAATATAAATTTTTGTACATTTAATTTAGAAGATTAAAGATATATCATTTTTATTATTAAAAAATAATCATGTATAATATTGATATTTTTCTTTTACCCTTATCTCTTATTTATCTTTTATCTTGATATATGTATAATTTTCGATAAATTTTCATATACTGTGTAAAAAAAATAATTTTTATTAAAATAAATTATAAAAACAAAAGATATTGTGAAATTGAAATATATTGCAATAAAATCTAATGAGAAAATTCAAATATTTTTTAAAAAATAAAAATAGAATAAAAAATTTTAACGATGTTAACTAACATAATTAAAAATTAATTAATAATTAGAAATATTTGCAATTTTTTTTAAAAATATACATTTTTATTAAACTTATCCTTTTTTTATTAATTTGAGAAATATTTTTCTGCAATATTTGCAACAATCTTTACTTTTCATTCAACATTTATACATTATCAACATTATACAACCGACATTAAGCTAAAAATGTTTCTTTTCTTCATTTCTTTTCATAATTTCCACCATATCCATTTGTTTCCAAGACTGAAAGCTGTCGTTTTCTTTATCAAAAGGATAGGACTCTACAAATGTTTCTTTCGGTAGAAAAGAAGTCATAGAAGGAAATAGATTCAGGAAGTAAAGAACTATCTTATTTCTTGTTTGACTTTCTTTCTTTATGAATCTTCTTCTCTGTTTTTCTCTCACATTTTTTTCTCTTTTTCAGTATATTAAAACGACATAAATATTTCATTCTTGTCAAATTTCACTTGATTATAATTGCATTATAATGTAATTTATTTTGTATCGTTACACTTTATATTTTTATATTAATATTAATATAAATATATTTTGAATATCGAATGATAAAATTTTAGAAAAATTCGTGAAGGATTACGCAAATTTACATGAAACTTAAAAATTATCCGTGATAAATAAAAAGGATATGAATTTGTTCGAAAATTTATCGAATTTTAAAAATTTGTTTCTAATTCGTATTAAAAAAGAATTGTTTGATTCGCGAGAGAGAGAGAGAGAGAGA